GCTAGACTGAGCTGCGGTTCCTCCGGCCGCTTAGAGAAGGGGTACGGTTATCGAGCTAAGCTTTCTGAGGTTCGAATTTGTCTAGACTTTGACAAGTCACTTGACACCATATACCTTTTGTGATGCTACAATGAAGACTAGCTAGATAATTTATAAAAGAGATAAGGAACTTTTGAAGTGTGGTTGATGCTCTCAACCAACTCTAGTTGATGAATTATCAGTATGTATCCACAGTCTGCCTGGAGGTCAGCTGTGTCAATCATTTCTGTTACTACAATAAAATATCACGTCTGGATAGTTCATTAAAAAAAAATAGAGCTTTGTTTTTCCTTGGTCTGGGGACTGGCAAGTTTAAGCTTGAGGCTAATTCATTGCCAAAAAGAGCTTCATCTCCTTGTTTCAAAATGTGGCCTTCAACACTGTGTCCTCTTCAGGCAAAGGAGAATAGAAAGGAAGGAGATTTCATACATCCCCAAGGCATTTGTACCTCTATGAGGGAGGATTCTTTATGGCTTAGACTTTCCTGAAAGACTCTACCTCTTAACTTTGTTGCAATTACATATCAGGTGTTAATATGTAATCTTGGAGAGAATTTAAACATTTAGTCAATAGTAGTCTGTCACTGTATCCCCTTTCCAATTCTTAGTTTTTTGTCATATACAAAATACCCTCTTTCAATCTCAGTGATCTCAAAGTCTTAACTTCCAATCAAGCTCAAAGTCCAAAGCCAAAGTATCATTTAAAAATCATCTAAATCATGCATGGATGAGACTTAAGTTTTGACTGACCCTCAAACAAATTGTTCTGTAGCTCTGGGTTCTTATATGATTATAATAGGATGGTGGACTAGAAAGAGGTTAGGTATCTCCATGCAAAACCACCAAAGCAAGTAATAGCAAAATATCAGATTTCAAGTAGGTCCCAAATCCGTCAAATCCAACTACTTTAATTCTGAATATTGAAAATGATCTTTGTACTGTCTTCTAGGAAGATTGAGGTAACTGTTGAGTGTCTGTAGCTTTTCTGGCTATAGCCCATAGAGCAAAAGTCATGGATTGGACTAGAGTACCTGTAGCTCTTTTGGGCTCTAGTTCCATAATTGTTGGTACGCTCCTGGAGTCTTGGGAAGAATCTCCACCCCATGGATTTGCTGGCATTTCTCCAGTGGAAGCCACTGTTTTCTGGCCATACTCTTGCCACTCCCATCCTAGTGAAGACTCAGCTGAAGATATATGCCTACAGCAATCTCTCCCTGGTCCCTAGGACTTTTCATTCTTGAAAACTTAGTGGAGGCAGTCATGCTTCTGTAGTCCTTGAACACTGTGCCTATAAAGTTAGTAGCACAGGAATGACATTGAGGTTCATTCCTTACACTTTCTAGAGGTATGGCCAGGGCCACACAGAAGGCCCAACAAAAGGATCCAGAAAGATCTACAGTATAATCTGGGTAAGAGTGGCTTAGGTGATGCTGGCTAGCAAGCCCCAAGCCCTTTAAAGCATTTTGTTCTCAAAACCATGATTTTTCTGGGCCTATCATGGGAGTAGTACTTTTGGAAGTCTTCCAAATGCCCCAGGGACCAATCTTCCATCCGTTTAATGAAGGCCATCTGCCTTCCTTCTGTTGCTGCTAATCGCCTTATAAAATGTTTCCTTGACCACACCTTTGGCCTTCTTGCCCAAGCACATCTTTTAACTGTTTACATGATCACAATCAGAATTTTCTAAATCTCTAAGTACCACTTCCTTGTGGAACACAAACTCTATTCAAAATTAATTCTCTCATCTTACAAGCTGTCTAGAATTCATGTGACAGCCGTACCCTCGCTGAGATGTTTCTCCCACCAAATATTCTAACTCTGTGCATTGAAATTCTTCTGTCCATGCATATTAGAACACACTGCCATTTTAGTTAAGTTCTTTGACTGTCCTTCAGTATCTAACACATTACTCCTGGTTTTCATCTGAAATCTCATTGGCATCACGTTTCCTGTCCTCATTTCCACCAGCAGGCTGATCATAACTGCTTAAGCCATTCTAAGAAGACCAAAGATTTCTCTGAAGCTTGCATCACCTTAAAGCTCTATTTGTTGCAATATGTGCATTTTCTAGTATTTATTTCAGTTTCTAAAGCCCTTTCCATGTATTTTTTGTATATTTTAGCAACATCTCATTTCATTCTGCTGTTGAGATAACAGTTACTCTTAAACTGAGTAACTTATAAACATCAAAACTACAATTTTCATTGTAACCAAGAGGCTGGCAAATCTAATATCAAGGCAGAAGTACGTCCATATAAGGTCACTCTCCCTGCCTGTGATTTTGTGTCTTGTACGTGCTGCTCTCACATGGCAGAAGAGATAGATGTGTGAGAGAGGCTGAAGTTAGTTACCCGTAATCATTTTATAAGCCTCTGATGCTCTTCATTAGGTAAATCGTTCACATTTAATCACCTTCTAAACTACCCTGCGTCTTACTATTATCACACTGGGAATTAAACTTCGACAGACGTTTTAGAAGAAATGCAAACATTAAAACTGTGGCACTTATATTGTCTGGGAAGGAAGGAAGCCTCAACAATACCATAAGACAGGAAGGAATCCTTGCAGGAATATGTATGCCACAAGAGTAAATGTTGAGTGCCCTGCAAAAAAGGAAGAGGTAACATTTGGAAGTTGATTGACAAACAGTAAACAGATGACATCTAAGACCTTTTCATGGACCTTTGAGGCTTGTACTTAGGTTTAGGCATCAAGTTTTGGAAAATACCAAGTGGTACATAGACAAAGAGTGGAGGAGGCATCTTAATATCTGTGGGAGATGCTGTAGTAGCATATGTACTTGGGGGAAATACTTTGGCTATATGGTCTTCCTATAGCTCTCTAATATTTTAGAGCATTCTGTGGCGCATAAGAACCATAATCTGTATTTATGACTGAAGCATGAGCGTTCTAAGTTGTGTGTGAGATTGTATGTGAGACATCTGTGCCAAAGGGCAGATTTAATGAGATTCTATAGAGAACTAGATTTTAAGCACAGCATGTATTTAGGATGCTTAAATGTTATCTCATATGGAGGACCCTCTTTGGGGTTGATAAAATGCCTAAGGACAAAATAGAAGTGAAAACAAGAGAATGGTGTGAATGAATTAAGTGCTATTGAATTGGGCATTTAAAAAAGTTTATTTATAGGAATTTCATATCAATTAAAAATTATCACCTCAATGAATAATATCAGTCATGGAGTTCAGGTGAGGAACATAGAGGTATATGAAGATTGCTGTTAAAGATCTAGTTTTCTGGTATTCAAAGTCTGGTCCCCAGATAGCAACAGCACCAAGAAGCTTATTAGAAAAGATCACTCATTGACACCAACAAAATTCAATATAATAAGACATGGGACTCAGCAGTCTGAGATTTAATAAGTTATCCAGGTAATACTAAAGCATGCTAAAACTCAAAACTACTAATCTAGTTTTTTGATTGGCAGGTACGTTTATATGTCTTGATTTTATAATTAAAATAGAATCAAATCAAACAAATAAATGCATAGAGTCATGCAAGGTCTAAGATTGTCTGTGTACCCATGCCCAAGAGTTAAATTTTAATCTAAGTCTGTGACCTTAAGGATTATTATAAAAAGTAGGAATTCTCCATGAACCATCAATCTCAATATGTCAACGCCCACTCTACAGCAATACAAAACAATGTAGATTTTTAACAAGTACTTTGGAAAAATAAAAGTTCTATAATTAAAAAAAAAACAAACCTGAATCTCATTAGAAAAATAGAGACCTGCAGTAACCCTAAGCATGAAGGAGAAAACCAATCCCTCATCTTCATTTACAGCCTTAACTTCTGCACCAGACTTTCCTCCAGGCTCTACCTTATGCTTAGTTTAACATCCCCCCTACATGGTAGCTTAGGGGTCTTTCAATATGTGAAGGAAAAGGAAGATAACCATGGCGGTAGCCATCCATCAGAATGAGGGGTGATGGATGTCTTTCAACAGAGACGTTACACCTCACTGTCCCCAACAGTTGCTGAGCATGGCTGCTAGCTTTGGTCAGGAATGAGGGTCCTGGCTGGACTCCAGCATGTGCTTGGCAAACAGGAAGCATGTGCCTGGAATAATTGCCTCTGCAGCAGCCTGGTTGCTATTGTCCTCCTGCTATTTTCTCTGAACAGGCCATGTTATCTTCTTCTGTGAATATTAATTTCCCCTGAGTTAGGATAATTGGACCAAGAGCAGCCATCCACAGAGCTGTGCCATATTGGCAGGACTTTTCCACAAACCCAGGCTTGTGGACCAATTTTTGGAGTGATACCATGTCATCTAATGAAGGATCCACCTTTTGCCAAGTGAGGTGGCTGAGCTTATTCCTGTCCTCCTAGCTCTGAACAAACAGGAAGTTTATAAATTCCATGTCTGGACTTTCTGCCTTTAATTAGCTTGTACATGGGAAGGAACACAAAGCATCTGTCCAATGCATGGATTTATGAATATGAATGGAAAAGTGTGACCATTAGAAATGAAATGAAATTTACCAGTAGTGATGGCTTGAGCCATGCTAATTATTTAGATCCCAAACAATGCTTATGATCATGATATTGTGGTTGCAATGCATTAATAAATTGTTAAAAACTAACAGATACTGGACGAATAGATCATGATGGAAACTGATGCCGATAGCTGCTTTGGTTTCAGTGGAAAATGCACATTAGGTGTATTGTATCTGCGAAGCAGAGTGACGGCATACAGAATCACCCTATGTTTTCACTTAGACATTTAGGGACACAGGGATTATCATTGTAATTGTGTATTTACTTTATCAGCACCATGACATAGAAACACTCAAGAATTCCATGGGACCAGGGACTCAAAACTAACATTAGAGAGACCCGGAAAGGTAATTTTGAGCCTATTGAGGTGACTTGTGGACAGGAGAGTATTTTCTAACTCGTTTTCCCATCTGATCTCTTCTTGTTTCTCCCATGATCCAGGTAACAATAGGTGGAAGAGCCAGCTACTACGTGTCCTATCGAAGAGAAGCCTTTGCCCAGATAAAGCTGCCCAAGTACTCCTTGCCAAAGGTATTGCACACAGTGCCTGTTATCCTGAGACTTGCTAGACAAATCCAGGGCTGGAGAGGCTGCCTGCCATTAACATTTAGTATGGGTCAGTCCTACAGGATTTTGACTAGTGTCGATGGTGGTGCAAGTGAACACTGTCTTTCTTTCTCAGCAGCATGGCAGGCATGAGTTTGGTTTCCTATAGCTCAAGCATGTGGTATGATCCTGTGCTGTTTGATAAAAGTGAGAGAGAAAGGAAGACAGCCTTTGAAACCAGTCTCTTCAGAGGGGACTCCTTTCAAAGGCAGTGCTGTTGACAAACAGAAGATAAGTTTATCTGTCAGGAGCAAAGCTGCTACGTGTATAGCTAAAAGTACACAGGTAAGTCTGGTGGTTTTCTTGCTTCTCTTTTCATTTTAAGGGTAAATATGAACACATGCTACCTGTTTGTGTTCCACTCGCTCACTGAGTGGATAAAACAGCCTAACTCACTAGAAGAATATCAGGTGGTAACATTTCAACTCCTCCACTGGAAGATTATAAAGCTCTTTTTGTGCATCTCATTTTGCATGAACACTGGCTTCTAGGTGAAGATGGATCTCGTTGATTCATTGTGAACAAGACCAGGATGTGATGGCATCCCTTAATGGGGGTGCAGGAGGCCATTCTGGGGCATGTACTTGTCATGTCATAAGATAGGAAGACATTGGCCTCTTAGATGAGGCTAAGAAACAGTGTGTAAGGCTACTTGAGCACAGAGTGTGTTGATTATGGGATAAGCAGGTAAGTCCCTTTATAACCCTTGGTGTTTTATTTTCACTTACTCATGTATGGGTGTATTCATTCTATCCCACATTAATTTATTCTTTATTAATGTATTCAACTTTTCTTTAATTTAAGTGGGAAGTCTATGTTAAACATTGAACCATTTAAAAGTCATTTAATAATGAAGTGTTCAAATTATAAAACTCAATCTCTCTCTTCTTTTTACTCTTTGCCAAAATTATTAATTTTTAATGGTTTTAATTGAAATGGAATTTCACCATTCCCCCTTGGAATAGAATTTCATCATCCTACCTCTATTTCCTCCCTCCTGCCCCTACCAGACACCCCATGAACTCCTCTGTACCCTGACACGCAAGTTGATACTCTCTTTGCCTTTGGTTATATTTGTTATAGGAATATTTGTGTATATGAGTACAAATATACATAAATATAACCCGCTGTGCCAAAATTTACACACACACACACACACACACACACACACACACACACACACACACACAGTTTGTAAGGTTGGCAATGCTGTTATTAGACACCCAGTAAAGTGGTTCATTCCTGGAAGGGGCTAACTCTCTGCCTTCCAGCAGTCAAATCGGATACAGTCTAGCTTCTGTGATTTGATTCAAGGAAAAAATAAGTTGGTAGAGGAAGGAGAGGAATTGGTCAAGAAGACTTTGATTAGAATCTTCTCTGTGGTCCTTGACTTCAAAGTACAGAACATGCCAATGTGCCACACTCTGGGGCACTGAGTTCTGATTCACACATAGGAGGAAGAAAGGCTTGCCAAATGACTTGCTCATGTTCAGAAGTGGTGTTAAGACACATGGTACCATTTGGTTCAGCAGTGGATATGGCGTTGGATCGATATGACTGGGTATGGCATTAATGGGTTAAAATTGTGTTGCACCTTCACTAGCTGTTGTATACATGCATTAACTTAATTTCTTGAACTCTGCACACTTTATAAAAATCAAAGTATTTGAAAGCAATAGAAATCACATAAGTATAAATTCAATAACACATTTAAAAAGCATTTGCTAAAAAAACATTGAACTATAGCTACAATAGTAAATATGCGAACGAACATTCCTTACCTGCTAACATCAAATAAATATAAATTTAATAAGATACCCTAAAACATTGTTAAGAATTGAACTAGCCGTGGATTGAATAGTGAATGCAATGCAAATATTTTCTGCCAACTAAAGCTTGTAGTCTGGTAGACAAGCACCATCAGGTAAGCCAGTGTAAGTACAGGGAGGATTATAGAAGTCCGAGGAACAGTTTTAGACAAAAAGAGCATCTAACTGAATGTGGATAGTGAGGACGATTTCCTAGACAACGTTCTGTTTAAGATAATATAAGAAAAACGGTAAAATTTGACCTATCAACAAAGGTAGATCAGAAGTACAAGGGTGGTAGAAAATATACCATTGTCTTATTATCTTGGAGGAATTGGTACCGTGCTGCCTGTAGATGCCAACATTCATAGATGACTAAAGTCTCTCATATAGCTAGCATGTCATAGCTTTATCATAATCTATGCACATTCTTTCTGAATACTTAAAATCATCTTTGAATCTCATGCCTGTATGTTTAGGGGATCACAAAAATAAGAAGCATGCCGTGTTTGTTAAGCAAAGGTATATAACTGACTGTACATTGGTCTCTGGAGAACAGAGATTGGGCGGGCAAACTGCACTTTCAAAGGCCTTGTTTTAAGAGTGAACATGGCTCCTTTAACAGAGTTCAAATATGTCTTGTGAAGTTTGGTTGCAGAGTTTGGCAGGACAGCTGACAAGAAGATCAGATCCCATATTGAATAGCCCTGGGGGAACATAGAGACTGGTTTCTGGTTTCACTCTGGTTTCTCTATGAGTAGATTTTGTTAGAAAATTGTTCAGGATGGTGACTGCAGGATGTACCTATCGAGTAGTCTAAAGACAGCCAGGAAACCAGTATGAGAGGAGGAGAAAGGGAAAAATTTAGCCATGATCGTCCTAAAGGAGGATGCTATGGTGCCCCAACCTCCAGGCCTGCCTGCAAGTCCCCCGACCTTTGCCTAAAATGTGTGTTTCAGGAACCTTCCAAACCATCTCTACACTGGAAGGATATTACAAACATGTTTACCTCTATATGAGTACATATTTTATGAAATTGTAACCTTCTCAAGAAAGCAACAGCTCAGTCCCTTAGGCCTGTGGCTGTAGATGGGATACAAATGAAGCCCTGAATTGATTTCCACACAGAGCAGTCCATTAATGATTAGCAACCCCATAGTGACTTATTGTGGAGGCATATCCAGCCAGGCATGCAGCCCCTTCATAGATAGTGCATCCAGATAGACTTCTCATTACTACGAAAATGCTGTGAAGGTAGCTGGATGGTGATCGATCATTTTATTAGCCAGTGTTGGCCCAGATTTTCATAATCAGGGCTAAGGAGCTAGGGGCAGAGAGAATGAAGGCAGGTTAGTTGTTTCTATTGTTTAAGAGAGTGAGACAACTTGATCCATGCACTGCTGTAGCTGCTGTTAGGTGTGTTGGGTAAAAACAAAATGATGGAAAAGTTCCCTGTTATCACTGCATGCCATGCTTCTGTTTGCAGTCTATCTGTTCAGAACATGCAGACCTTGATTTTCAAGTATTCTCAGAATGTGAGATGAATGCCATTAATAATGAGCAGGGTTATTAGAATGAGGAGCGGCTTGTCTAGGATCCTGTAGTTCCCTTGTCGAGCACTGGGTTGGGTCTCTCATGTTGTAGGCGTGACATCTATACACCAATCAGAAAGAATGGTGGATGAGAATAAGCAATATAGCAGGGAAAGGACAGTTGAACTTTGGAGCAGAACCCTTCATGCCCCTTCAAACTCAACCACTTACTCAGGAGCCTGGGTCTGCTCAAAGCAAAATGGCATAGCAACACTGAAACCTTGTGAGGAGTCAGTGAACGGCTCACGGGATGTCCAGTGCAATGTGCTCAGTAAATCTAAGGAGCAACTGTTGCTTAGTGGGAGATAATACCAATGTTCTCCACCTGCCTGCTCTGCAGATTAAGCTTAGAGTAGAATTGTGTCTCCTACAGCATTTGTTTTCCTACTGTTTAAAGCTGTCATTGTAGCAACTGGAGCCTGACATAGACTTTTAAGTCTAATTTAAATTAGAATCTAATTTTTTTCTCAAGTTGTCATTCTAAAAGTCATTTCCGCAAGAGAAAAATTTTGTTTGCTTCTTTTCCCCAAAAGTATTTGGGTTTTAGGAATACCCCTGAAAATTTGCCTGAGCCCCCATGATTCTGGAAAACATCCCAAGTTAAGGAATACACCTCCGTTTTGTGTTTGGGGAGGGACTTATCCCCAAAGATCTGCTTTCTAAGAGACTTGCTAAGAGTAAAATGTCTGACCTGTTTTTCTGTCACAAGGCCATATTTATATTCTGTTTTTCCTAAGGGATTAGCTGAACTGTTGTCCTCCAAACAAATGTGGACAAAACACCTAATAATCTGTCTTTACCAAAGTTAAATCTGGCTTTTCTATTGGCCTCTCTTCTTGAACTTTGCCCACCCTCGAGCTTGTACAGGGAACTGAAGTCTTGGACAAACAGTACAATGAGGGGCAGTCATCTGCCTGACCTGAAAGCATTTCTGAGCATCACTTGGCTTCAAAGAAAATTTCTCCTTCAGTTGTTTGATCATGTCATCTCCATGTCTTGCTACACACTTGGCCCCTTTTTATTTTATATTCCTTTATAAAAGCAAATCTTGAAGTTCGAGAGAAGCTTTTGTAGATACAGTACTTGACATGCGGGTGTGAGCGTTCAGATCCTCTTCATCTTATATAGCTCACATATAACCCCACTTTTGGGGAGTCAGAGTCAGGGAATACCCCTAAGCAAGCTGGTTGAACTATACTACATATTCAAGGTTTAGCAGAACACCCGGCCTCAGTAAACAAGTATAGAATGAATGAGGAAGGAGATCTCTGAAGTCAAATTCTTTTTTTAACACACAAGCTTCTACATACATGTGAACACACATACACATGCAACAAAAACTAACTGAAACCTATAGGAATAAAAAAGAACAAATAAAAAGAAATTTAAAAGTAATTCTCTGCAAGTCATGATGGTACATGTGTATTATTCAAACACTTAGGAGGTAGCCAGGAGGATTTGTAGCTCCAGGGCAGCCTTGGCCATGCACTGGGTTTGAATCCAGCCTGGGACACATTAAACCCTT